AGGTTGATGTTAGTCCAATTGCTGGGTCCCTCAATGAAGGGATGTACCAACCACCTGCCTTACCACTGCAGGCCCTGTTGTGTAAGCCCTATATTCTTCCTGGGCTGAAGAACCAAGTAGTATTGATGTGGGTCAACTTTTAGTTCCTGCTATTACTTTATCATCAGGTTATTCCAGACTACCAAATCGTCCTGTTTATAGTGTTTAGGTCAGCTGAGGCCCTACTGTGTCCCTATTGTGTGCCTGTGTATCTCTTGATTTTCTCCAAGTTGAGGCAGTCTTTACTGGCACATTTCTCACCCTGCCTGAGGTTTTCTGTGTTTAGGAATGGGTCACCCACACTCTTGCCATACTCACCAAGGTATTATTGTTAGTTTAAGAAATCTTTACTGCTGGCCCATTTTACCCACTGTACACCTTTATCTTAGGGGCATACTCTGCACACTGACTGGAGTCTTCTAAGATCTTCTGTTTGGTTGAGGCAGTTACTGAATCTCTCTTCAAGTTAGCATAGTTAATCTTCTGTGTTCCAAGGTTCTGGGAGAAAGGGTAGGAGCTGAAGATTAAGTGTGCTATTAGGACCAGGAGTTAGGAAATGTCCCTAATGGGACAGCAGATGTCCTGGGTCCAGGCATCTACTGGCTGAGACCCAAGGTCCCAGCGTGGCATTCCTTAGTGCTGACTGGAGTCATGCAGGAAACAGATGACTGTGTGGGCTAATGTCTGAGGGCAGCATGCATTCCCCAGGGCTAGCAGGAGTCACACAGGAAGCTCACATTGGCCTGGGCCAACATCCCTGTGTGGTGTGGTGCTCCTCACTGAAGGCTGGAGTCATGCCTATTTCTTGATTTTGAGTGATGTTTCAAAGCTTCCTGGGTGCACTGGGAATCACCTGTCCCACTTTTGGCTCTCTAGCCAGACTGAAGGCAACTGCTTGCCACTTGGAGCTCACTTGGAGTGGGCCTGTTAGTCCTGAGGGAACTCTGTGTGTCCTTTGGTGAGTTCAGATACAGGGCATTGTCTAACTGCTTGAAAGTGAATCTCTAAGGCTTCCCAGGGCATTGTTTATAAGGCATGGTCTTACTGGCTAAGGTGAAGTTCTAAGGCTCCCCCTGCTCTTTGGAGGTGGCTGGGGATGGCTTGGTTTGAGCCACTCATATCTCCTGTGAGTTTTAGGGTGACTTCAGACTCAGGGCATCAAGATTACCTTTGAAATTAAAAAGAAATTCAACAGAGGAGATGCTCTCCAGTATGTGCAATGGATACTTAGTGAATTAAGGGGCATTAAAGTGGAACCTAGTAAAGCTGCACCACAAAAAGAAAAGTGATATTTAAAAAATTGAAAAGAATTAGGAGATATAAACTATATTTTGTGAAGCTCACGAATCTGGCCCATAACTGTTTTACAAGAAAAGGAATGGAAGAATAATGGAAAATAGTTGTTCAAAAAGATTATTTCTGTGAGTTTTAATAGTCTGGGCTTAAATGCACTAAAGGGCAAAATCCTATTGCATTTGCTAATCAATCGGTCTCAGAATTTGAAATGAGTATCAAGTCACCAGACAGGAAGGTATATTCCCACTTGAAAATAGATCCTTCACTGACTAACCTGAAAATTTTCTTCAATTTTGAAAAATCTATGGCTATTGAGTAAAACTAGGTAATTATACTTTTGTAAAAGATCATTTAATATGTTGTTTATTTTTGAATACTCTCTTCTGTTCCATGAATACATACACTTGTCTTTATGCTGATTCCATGGTACTTAAAAATATTTTTTAAAATTTACAATAAAATCATTGTATGTATTTATATTATACAATCTGGTGTTATGATACATATTTTCATTGTACAGTGATTAAATTATGGTATTTGACATATCCACTACTTGATTAGGAATCTTTGTAATACATTTTGAAATTGGGAAGTGTAAAGTTTTTGGATTAATTCTTCTTTCTCGGCATTACTTTTGGTTAGTTGGACTCATTTGTGCATTTTTCTACTTACTTTAAAAATGCTATTGGATTTTTGAAAAGGATAAGATCAAATTAATACATATGGTAATCTATAGATTGTGTAATGTAAATATTTTAACAATATTACATTTCCTAGTCAATGAATGTGGGATAGTTTTCCACTTATTTGTGTCTTTATTTTCTCTCACCAATGTATTATTTCAGTCTACAAATCTTGCACATTCTTGGTAGATTTTTCCTAGTTATTCTTTTCATAATATTGTAAACAGGTTTTTTCTTAATTTTCTTTGCATATTGATTTTCATATGTAGAAAGCAGCTGATTATTGCTTGTGATATATTCTGCAATTCTGCTGAATTTAATTGGCACTAAGAGCTTTTTTTTATGGAAGCTTATGTCTAAACTCCTCAAAGTATACACTTGATAACACCCTGTTCTTTGTGTGTCAGTTATACTTCAAAAAAGCTGTCAAAAGATTAATCCAATGAACTGAAACATTACATCAATACACCTGAGATTATAAATAAAAGAGTCTGAATTCACTTTCATGTTTCAGATGGGATGCATTGTGGGGGAGGCGATGCAGCAGTTGTAGGAGTTATATGGTAAGTACATAATAAATAAAAACAGCAGTTGAGTACATGATTAAACCACTGTGTGCCTAATGAATAAATCAACATATACGTGTCATAAACTATTAGACATATAAAATGGTATGAAAAATTCTTGTTGACTATGATTGCTTGATTTATACCACAACATTAAAAAACCCATGAGAAAAACTATTTGTCTCTACTTTCTTTGTATAGTTTCACTTCCTTCTCTACTGTGCACAGCCTCACTTCAGAGGGTATAGGGAACCTCAGCACTATCCCCAGTTGTCATGAAATGCCGGTTCTCTCTTGTACCTATCTGCCTCATACTTTATTTTTCTTGAAGTCCCTAACTTGCCTCAACTCTGTATAAATTTTACCTTTTAGTCAGCACAAGATTGTGGGACAAGATTTTAGGATGTGCTGTGTTTGTCACTGGGGATTCTGAACAAACCGCTAAGCATTCATTTATTCATCCTTATCTTCACACAACTTTCTTCAAAGCCAGGATGACCCTGTGTCCTGAGCACCTTCATGAGGACAATCAAGAATCTGAATTGTGACATCTCTGTTCCTACTCAGGCTTTTGTTTTGGCAAAGCAAGTCACTCATGGCAAGAGAAATCCTAATGGTGTTGCTTGGCAGTGGACTGTGTAGAAATAAGGTGTGCAAGGCTTCTTTGCTGGTGTCATCTTTATGGCCTACTGAATGAACTGTTGCCTTGAGATAAGTTTAAAAGCAAGAAGGGGATAACCACAATGCACCCCTGGTATGTGAGAAACTGTGGTTCAGACTTGCAAACATTGGCTTTATGGAGAAACACCAATGTCTCCCAGAAATGGCACTGAATCTCAGTACATTCTTCTCTCTGGTGCGTCTTGCCTAGAGAACCGGTCTCTCTGTGATGTACGCAGGTGTTGCAAGCAATGCAGATGTCATTTATGTCCTTTGAAGCTATCTGCCTGTTGCTGCCACATCACTGTTACTTGAGTGTAGGAAACTGAGTCAGAGGAAATTGAGCTTGCACACTTCCTAAGTAACTCCAATATGTTTTAAAATTTGTTTAAGAAAGTGAATCAAAAGCATGTGAAATACACTGAACCATGGGCATTTCATCAAAGTACAAATGCCTATGCCAAAAATATTATGTTCATATGAATAAGAGATAATGGTAAACCACTGCTGTTGCATGTTTGTCATACTAAAATAGTTGAGAGCTTTGTAATGTATTGCAGCCTGGGACTGTTAACGGCTCTGTATTTAAACATTTGGATGGCTTTTATGACTTTTTGGTCTACACAGCGAGGCTCTCAGATGAATTCTAGGCTTATTAAAGGTGTGAAGTATCTATTTCCTGGAACAGAGATGGCTTAGTCTTTGTGTGATATAGTAGACTCAGTCAGTGATAACATCTTTGACTTGGAATTAATTGTTATCATGTTTTCTGCAATATGTTTTCTGTGAACTCATACTTTTATTTATTAGTGACTGTCTAAAAATTATTCTTAAATTAAGATTATTTTAGAGTCCAAATGTTCCCATAATGTATTCTAAATATATATATTCATGGCATATAAAAAGAAGACAAGAGATGATATCTTAGAGCAAACACCCAACAACAGTTGGTAAAACCACAGCTGGATTCTTCTTTGCTCAGTAATGATTTATGTGGTGCTAGGGAAGGCATAAATATAGGCAGAGCTCATGAGTTATTGCAAAGCAAAAGCTCTACTAGTTACAGGAAGATGCTGCTCCTTACAGGAACTTATGTATCAGCTGCAGCTCGCATAGTTCTCCTGAGCATTTGTTACTCAAAGTTCCAAAGATCAGGAGCCATCATAAAGCTATGTTCTACTAACATATGCAAATTTTCCTTCAAAAATCGATACAGATAAGGCTAAATAATTTTTGTTTTTGTTGTAAATTGTGCCATGGCATTTATCAAATTTGATTCTTGATCAAAGTCTGTGTTTTTAGAGTCCACAACTGTTTTAAGTGCTTTGCCATCATGTAAATGAATATGATCACATCCATACACACATACGTAGAGGCACCATTCAATGTGAGGTTTCAGAAACCAGATAAGGGAAACAAAGAAAGTGGAGGGTGGATATTGGGAAGGTAAAGTGAGAGTGCCACAAGACAGTGGATGGAGAGACAGCAAGGTTGAGTTTGGTAAATAAACAAAAGATTTCATGTAGGTGGAAAGTTGAGCAACTGTGAACTATTGTATGTTTATTTTAATGATATAAGTAAAGGTTGAAGGCTGTGGGTGATGTGATCTTTAGAATCACACTGCAGCATTTCTGAGGTCATATGAAAGAAGTCAGAGAGGTAAAGGGAAGTATGAAAGTTAGGCCAGAGGACACGTGAAGGGTGAAATAGAAGTCCCAGGAGTGAAGGTTCACATTTCTTTTCTGGTACAGAATTTGTATGTGTAAGATATTTGTCACTTGTAAGAGAGGAAGTGACTAGAGAGTACCAAGAAAGAGTTGCTGAACTCAGAGATTAAAATCAAGCTGAGGAGCTAGAACTTCTTTCTACAGTGAAATGCTGCTCCTGGAACTGACATTTTTTGCAATTCTCTTCCCAATTGGTGACACTCAGGATGGTAAGGGGAACTCTGGGGGCCCCCTGCAGTAGTTCAGGTGTCTAGAAAAGACAGGCTACATTAACACAGGTGTATTTGGGGATAACACTCTGAGCTTTCCTGTCTCCAGGTCTCTTCCACCATTCTGGATGTTGGGGCTGGAGCCTGAGGCTCTGAGGCTCTTAAATCATTTAGGCCTTCTGGGGTCTATAGACTCCAGGTGTTTGTTTCTTGCATCATTTTAATAACATGCTTTCTCTTTTCGCTTTGCTTCTCTTTCTCTTCACCATTTTATCTTTCTTTTCTCCACAGCCTTCAAAAAACCAATCTCTTTCCATATCATTCAAATCACATCTTTTGCTCACAATTCCTGGGTGAAATATCAAGGTTCAGGCTGGTTAGGAGATTTACAGATTCATGGCTGGGACAGTGATTCAGGCACTGCCATATTCCTGAAGCCCTGGTCTAAATGCAACTTTAGTGATGAAGTATTTGAAGTGGTGGAGCTATTTCGGGTGCATGTCTTCACATTCATTCAAGAAACAAAAGCCCATGTGAATGTCTTGAAGATGGAATGTGAGTCTAGACTTTATGACTGGGGACTTTCTTAATGATTTGTCAGTGATTCAGATTACAATCTTTTTGATCCTTCTCACCTCCTCTCATCTTTGCTGAACTGTTTGCACATGGCTGTCTAGAGCACTCTCTTTGGTTTGCTGCCTCTGCACTCATTTCTGATTGATGAAGAATTCTACCTTGAGGCCTGTTTGTCTGCTATAAATTCACCCCTTACTTTCCAATTGATGGGACCCTCTTTTTCCCTTTTGAAAGCTGTACTTGTGTCTCGCTCACACTTTCCTTATCCTGCACCTTTCCTATGTCATTGAACCACTGTACATTTTTTTTATAGTTTATCCATCCTGGCTTGAATGCCCCTATGCATGCTTTTCTTTCTATAACTATAAGTCCTATAATTATTTAGTGTTATGAATGACACATTCCTAATGTTATCTTTACTTACATCAAAATTCTAGGTCCTTTCCACATCTTGTTCTTCGGTTTTCCTTGTACACAGACCCTTTTGTGATCCAGGTCATTGCAGGCTGTAAGCTGCATTCTGCAGGTGCCATTTTAAGCTTTTTGCCAGGAGCCTTTGGAGGATTGGACTTTGTGGGTTTCAAGAATTATTCTTGTGTTCCTGCCCCAGAAGGTGGCAGCAGGGCACAGAATGTCTGCATATTACTTGCTCCGTATCACGATATCTTCTACACTGTGGAGAAGCTGCTGTGTGAAACCTGTCCTCAATATCTCCTGGGTGTCCTTGAAGCAGGAAAGGCAGATCTACAGAAGCAAGTTTTGTTCTGTTATGTTACATTTTCTGTCCCTTTCTTCAAGCTCAAGTGTAGAAAGGTGTGTAAGATGAGTGGGGTTCTCAATAACTTATTTCATTCCCAAAGAATGAAGGCTCACTATCCAGATTGTAGGTGTTTGGATTAACATGATTTGTGTTAGAATACTAATCTGATATTTTCCTGCTTTTTCTTGACATAGTAAAACCCAAGGCATGGTTGTCCAGTGATTCCGCTCATGAGCCTAGCCATCTGCAGCTGGTGTGTCATGTCTCTGGATTCTACCCAAAGCCTGTGTGAGATGTGGATGTGAGATGAGCAGGAGCTGCCTGAAACTCAGAGAGGTGACATCCTGCCCAATGCTGATGACACATGGTATCTCCGAATGACCCTGGATGTGGTGACTGAGGAAGCCACTGGTCTGTCTTGCCAAGTGAAACACAGCAGTCTAGGAAGACAGGATATTGTCTTCTACTGGGGTGAGAAAGAAATGGGGCTAGAATAGAAATGGGGAGCCACAATGGTGAAGGAATGGGGATAGAGAAGGAGAAAACAGAGGAAATAAAAGGAAGGGATTAGAGAAAATTTACTATTTAGCTTGACAGAGCAAGACCTGGAATAATGTGGGACTTATAGTAATATTCTCTGTTCTCTCTTACAATTGTCAGGACACTCCAATTCCATTGGCCGGATCATTTTGGCAATAGTTTCCAGTTTGATCTTTTTCCTGTGTTTTGCATTATGGTGTTTTATGTAAATAAAAATTTTTTTTCAACATTGATGAACATTGTTGTTCATTTGAGAAATGCAAATTAAAAGAACACTGAGGTTTCATCTAGCCCCCAAAAGAATGATTATCATCAAGAAATTAACTAATAAGAGCTGGTGGGGCTTTGAGGCAAATGGAAACCTTTTTCAGTTCTGGTAAGGAGTACACAGTGGTACAACCACTGTGGAAATCAGTATGGAGACTCCTTAAAGCCTAGGATTAGAGGTCTCATTCAACCCAGTTATTTCCCTTCTGGGTACTTTTCAAGAAGAATGAAAAACGTCATACCAGAGAAATATATGTGCAAAATTTGTAATAGCTAAATCTTGGAAACAACCCAAATGTCTATTGACCAAGGAATAGACAAATATATTGTGATGATTTTATGGAATGTGGGTACTTCTCAGTTGCAAAAAAGGATAAACTTTAGGGTTTTATAGGTAAATGGGTTCAATTTGAGGCTATACTCTTAAGTGAATAAGTGAGACTCACCTGTGTAAACATCATTTTATCTCCATAATATAAGAAACTGGAATTGTAAATTAGATACTAAGTCTACAATATATATTATGAAATGGAAAGAAATTGCTTCAAAAGGAAGAACAGCTGGGATAGGAGAAAACAGAAAATAAGGAAGGGAAAAGAAAAAATAAATAGACACACTCTCACAAACACACTTACAGTTGTTAAGATAGTCATATTGCTATTTTCTTTTACTTGACTGGAGAGCAGTTTGTTCATGTATTGTTTGATCAGTTTTTCATGCTTTTATCTATCTGGTAATCTGAGTAAGTGTTCTGATGATAATAAATCACAGTATATTAACCATTGTTAATTTCCTATTACATTGTTATGAAATACTGGGTCATTGCTTTTATTGTTTTTTTCTTCTTTAAAATCAAAATTCTTTCCTTCTTTAAGTCAAATAATGTTTCATTGCCTGCACATACTGTGCAGCCACTCATCCACTTGTGAACACTCAAGCTACTCTGTGCATTATGAATAATGCTGTGCATGTGCCGATACCTTTTACTAAAAACTGTTTTGCTTGTGTTCTTACAGGCCATATGAAGACATCTTCTGAGACCTCATGATGTCATGTTTAGCGATTGGATTTCACATTGAGAAGTCCAGAGTTAGTTGTTAACACAGCAATCAATTTTGTTATATTTTATAAAATAACTACTACTTTTAATTAACAATGTTTCTGTAGATTGTAAGATAAACCACAATATATATCAATACAAAATGAAGAACTTATTTTGAAATGGTATCAAAAGTAGTTCCACCCAGATGTCATAATTTATCAGATATATTCCCTGCAGTCCTTAAAATGACAAGGTGTTTTATCTTTTTTATTTTGTTGATTTTTATTTATTTTCAAGTGGCAAACTGAAATTACAGTACCATATCTTATTTATCTTGTTGAGGATGCATGTAGGTAGACTCAGTTTGTGAATATTTTGTTTAGGGCTAGGGATTTTTGCCATGATCTTGTCAGGTATTAATATTAAGGAAGTTTTGCCAAATAAAATACGTTGAAAAATGTTCCCTCCATTTTGTCCCTGGAGTAAGCAGAAATATACACTTTTGTTGTTGCAATGATTTGACAGAAGAGTTTTTAAATAAAGTTTTAACTTTTATAGACTATTTACAAAAATAAGTGTACCTCTATTCACATAATCCATTTGGATAAGAAATTTTTGTCAGCATAGTAATTTGTAGTTTTTGTACATTTTTCAAGTTATCCAAATTACCCAGTTTATTACTAATAGCTGGTTCATGTTTTATGATCTTGTCAATGTCTGTGATACTTTTCGTGTGCAATTTTTTAAACTGGTATTGAAAATTTGTTTTCCATCTCTTGTTCCTTTTTTTTTTTGATACTAGGGATCAAACTCATGACCTCATGCTCACCCTTATGCCTCTGATCTAAATCCCCAGCCCTCCTCTTTTTTATTCTTCCTTTTTTTTTTTTCTTGGTAATGGGAATCAATTCCAGGCTTCATGTGAGGCAAGGACTCTATCACTGCACTACACTACCACCCTACTCTTATTCTTTGTCTCACTGTGACAAGAATTTTATAAATTCCTAAAGTTTTTCAAAGAACTAACTTTTGACCACGTTGGGCCTGTCATATTATATTATTATTATTTTCTCTCTGTTCCTTAGACATTACTTTTATATTTCTTTCACCACTTTCTTTTTTCACTTTTTTTGTCTTCTTTCTTTTTGTTATTTTGAGATAACATCTTGCTACTCCAGACTGGCCTTGAATTTGCTTTACACCCCAGGCTGGCCTCAAATTCAAAGCTGTGTACTTGCACCAGCCTCCCTATTGCTGGGATAAGAGACGAGGCCCACAATGCTGACTAATATTTCTGATTTGTTAATGTAGATTCTTCAGTAACTTAATTTTAGCTGTTATTTTCCTGTCGGAGGTTTTAAGATTTAAAAGGTTCATTAAACATGGTTTTAGTGCATATCTAAAATTTTGGTCTGTTGCATTACCTTTGTTCATGTATTTTCTAGTTTCCACTTTTTAGCATGTTAGGTATCTAGAATTTGCTCTTCAGAACTTGTGTACATGAGGAATTTTCTGGTTATCTTTTAATCATTAATTTTTGAAAATTGTGATTGCATGTGTCTGAGAAAATATTTCATTGTGTTCAGGCTTTTGAAGTTTATTTATATTGCTTTATGGGAAAACATATTAGGTTTTAAATGAATGTTTCACATTCACTTAGAAAGAGTATGTTTCTCTTTGAAAAATTCTGAGTTTTAAGTATATCATGAAGTCATGCTGTTTAAATCTTATACTTAGTGATTTCTTTGTATTCACAGAGGTATATTAAAAAGTGTCAAACTTAACACTGTAGGCTGTCTCATTTTTTTGTGGTGTGTTTTACTTTCTGACTTGGTATATTCTATTTCATACAGAAATGTCTAGAAATTTTGCATCTTTATCATGCTACATACCCTCCTTTATCTATAATGATGTTTCCTTTCTTTTAAATTGACTATTGGTAATCAAGTAACCATCCCAGGTTCCTAGGGGTAAGGGTATTCACAGTGTACCTTTTCCCATGTTACAGGTTACTTATGAATATGTAACATGTAATAGCTTACTTATGAGTTATATGAATTGCTACTCAATTTCAAAACTTCATATTTTAGTTATTTAGTGAATTTTCTTTTTTTTAAATTTTATTTAAGGGGAAAAGATAAAAAAAGCAGAAAAAGGGTACAAGTTATACAGATTTACAGAAAAAAAAGTGAACAGTAGGAAATCACTAGTTAATGGATTACATATTGTCATCTTAGTAATAATGGTTCAAGTCACAAAATTAAAGCTTGTAAAGTGGACATTCCATCAATGATACTGCAAACAGTTCTGTTCAATGATCCAATAAAACTCTGTGATATCATTTTCTATCTTATACACTTAAATATACATGCAGTTATATAGTTTAGAGCACTTACTTTTCCTCTCTTTTGTACCATGACTATTACACATTTTGGGTTTCATTGCTCCCACGGCTCTTATTACTTTTTTGGAAGAGAGTAAAACCAAATGTGACATAACAGAACAGAGGTCAAGTCAAAAGGGTGGACATAATAGATAATGTAAAAACATAATACAAGGTGATCAACAATGGTTACCATAATGCCTCCAGCTATCTCTAATAGAATTCTTTCATAAAATTAGTCATGTGTTTGTGTTTTTTATTTTGAAGAGAATAACATCAAATGAGGCAAAACAAGATTGAGTCAATCAAAACAAAAGCATCGGCATACTACATAACCTAAAAAAATATAAGGAGATCAATGATGGCTCCCATAATGCCTCTTGTTATCTTCAAAAGAATTGCCCATATTGTCTGGCATTATAATTTTTTTAAAATTTTATTTAAAAGGAAAAAGAGAAAAAACAAAACAAAACAAGTGTAAGGGTACAAGTAATACAGAACTACAAAACAAAACAACAACAACAAAAAAAAAACAGTAAGAAATCACCGGTTAATAGATTACATATTATCATCTTAGAAATAGTTGCTCAAATCACAGTATCAAAGCATACAAAGTGGACACTCAAACAGTGAGACTGCAAACAGTTGTGTTCAATGATCCAACCAAAAACATTAATACGATCAGCTATTTAACACCCCTAAACACTCTTGCTGTTGTATCATTTAGAACTCTTTTTTCCCCCTCTATTTTTTACAACAAAATTTACACATTTAGGGTTTTATTACTCCTTAGTTCTTATTACTTTTTTTTGGGGGGGGGATAAAGTCAAATATGGCAAAACAAAGCTGTCAGTCAAACCAAGGATAGACATAGCACATGATGTAGAACAGAGTACAAGGTTATTAACAATGGTTATCAACGTTGTCTCTTGTTTCCTTAAAAAGAGTTGTCTGTCTCATTAGATATTATAAAGTTGAACAAAACAGTAGAGAACAAGACCAATAAAACTTAAGCATTGTAAACATTACAGGACTTCCAAAGGAGACAATAGTCAAACCAGAACGGGCATCTTAGTGAATCTTATTGCCTTTAAAGTAGTTGCCTATACCCTCAAACTTGATACTATCATACAGAATGGAGCAGAGTCTAATCAGTCAAAACAAGATAGTGGGAGCATTACAGGACTTCAAAACAAGTTAATAGGAAATCAAAAAAGTTACTATTATATACCCTGCTAATTTTTTTAAAATTTTCCCCTTAATTAAAAAAAAACATAAATAATAGCTAAATAATTTTTAATGAATAAGGCAGAGATTGATATAAAACAGGACATAACAATATAACAATACATAACAAAGCATGACTGTTTCAACAACCTACTAGTTCACCACCAAATAACCCAACTTAATAGTAGTTACCATAGTGTCTGTCTTTTTCCTTGAAATATTTGAACAAAACTTCATATACTATAGCTTCAAGCATTTCCATATCAAGAAGCCCAGAATAAAGCCTTTCCAATAATAAGTGAAAACTTTATAAGGCTTCAAGGCCACATAATGGGGAATCATGATTACCACATATTTGTTTATATTTTTGAATCATTACTTACATTAGGGAAACTATTCAGTATTCATACATGCGAGATTGATTTATTTCACTTATGAGTATGGTCTCAAGCTGCGCCCATTTATTGATAAATATCTCAATGTGATCCTTCTTTATAGCTGAATAATACTCCATTGTATAGAATTACCACAACTTTTTTATCCATTCCTCAGTTGATGGACACTTGGGTTGTTTCCAAGATCTGGCAATTACAAACTGTGCTGCTATAAACATAGGTGTACATATATCACTGTGGTATGATTCTTTCAGTTCTTCTGGGAATATGCCTAGAAGTGGAATAGCTGGAATAAATGGGACTTCCAATCCCAGCTTTTTCAGAAATCTCCAGACTGACCTCCACAAAGGCTGCACCAGTCTACACTCCCACCAACAGTGTAGGAGAGTTCATTTTTCCCCACAGCCTCTCCAGCATTTGTTGTTGTTGGTTTTCTTGATCCTGGCCATTCTTTCAGGAGGGAGATGGTAGCTCAGTGTGGTTTTAAATTCCATTTCTCTAATGACTAATGATGATGAACATTTTTTCATGTATTTATTTTCCATTTGCATTTCTTCATCTGAGAAGTGCGCATTCATCTAGATGCCCATTTTTGGATTGGATCTTTGAGTTTTGGGGGTCTGAGTTTTTTTAATTCTTTATATGTTTTAGACAAGAGTCCCTTGTCTGAGATAGAGTTCACTAAAATCTTTTCCCAGTTTGTGGGTTTTCTTTTTACCATGCTGGAGATTTGATTTGACATGCAGAAACTTTTTAATAAGAAGTGGTCCCAGCCATTGATTCTGGGAAGTATTTCCCATGCGGTTTGAGTCCTGTTCATGAATTCTCTACCTAATCATATGTCTTCAAGGTTTCTACCCAATTTGTCTTCCAATAGATTTAGTGTTTCTGTTTTAATATTCAGATCTTTGACACATTTAGATTTTAATTTAGTACATGGTGATAAACATGGGTCTAGCTTTAGTTTTCAGCAAATGGAGAGCCAGTTTTTCCAGCACCATTTATTAAAGAGACTGTCATTCTTCCAGTGAACCTGCTTGGCTCCTTTATCAAAGATAAGGTGGTTGAGTGTGTTTGTGGTTGTGGTTGTATCTTCTAATCTATTCCATTGATCTTCGGCTCTGTTTTGATTCCAATGCCATGTTGATTTTACTACTGTTGCTTTGTAGTATAACTTCAAGTCAGGGATTGTGATGCCTCCTGCTTTGTCTTTGCTGCTTAGAATTGCCTTTGCTGTTCTAGGTCTCTTCTGGTTCCAGATGAAATTTAGGAGTGATTTCTCTAGATCTATAAGTTATGTTGATGGTATTTTTATTAGGATTACATTGAATCTGTATAACAGTTTTGGGAGAATGGCCATTTTCACATTGTTTGTTCTTCCTATCCATGAGCAAGGGATGTCTTTTCATTTTCTGAGATCATCCTCAATTTCTTTTTTCAGTGTATTATAATTTTCACTGCATAAATCTTTCACTTCTTTTGTAAGAGTAATTCCTAAATATTTCATTTTTTTGCTTGCTAATGTGAAGAGTGTAGTTTCTCTTATTTCCCTCTCTGTGATTTTGTTGTTTGTGTATAGGAATGCTATTGATTTCTGAGTATTGATTTTGTATCCAGCCACATTACTGAATTCATTTATTGTATCTAAGAGTCTTTCAATGGAGTTTACGGGGCCTTCTATGTAGAGTATCATGTCATCTGCAAACAATGATAATTTAACTTCTTCTTTTCCTATCTTTACCCCTTTTATTTCTCTGTCTTGCCTAATTTATCTGGCTAGTACTTCCAGTACTATATTAAATAGGAGTGGGGATAAAGGAAATCCTTGTCTTGTGCCTGATTTTAAAGTAAAGGCTTTCAATTTTTGGCCATTTAGCATGATGCTGGCTGTTGGTTTGTCATAAATGGCCTTTATTATACTGAGGTAAAGACCATCTATTCCAATTTTCTGTAAAGTTCTTATCATGAATAAATGTTGGACCTTATTGAAGGCTTTTTCCACATCTATTGAAATGATCATGTGATTCTTACTTTTGGCTTTATTGACATGGTGGATTACATTTATTGATTTACATATGTTGAACCATCCTTGCATTCCTGGGATGAATCCCACTTGGTCATGGTGTATAATTTTCTTGATGACTTGCTGCATCCTATTTGCCAATATTTTATTGAGGATTTTTGCATCTGTGTTCATTAGGGAGATCGGTCTATAGTTCTCTTTTTTAGTTGGGTCTTTCTCAGGTTTTGGTACTAGAGTAATATTTGCTTCCAGGAATGACTTAGGAAGGATTGCTTCCCTTTCAATTTCATTGAATAGTTTGAGGAGGCATTAGGTCTTCTTTGTATTTCTTGTAGAATTCTGCAGTGAATCCATCTGGTCCTGGGCTCTTCTTTATAGGTAAGGACTTAATTATATTTTCAATTTCATTAACAGAGATTGGGTTATTCAACAGTTTTACATCCTTCTGATCTAGCTTTGGTACTTCATATGTTTCTAAGAATCTGTCTATTACTTCTGTGTTATTAAACTTTTGAGAATAGAGGTTTTTGAAATAGGTGTTGATGATCTTCTGTATTTCTATTGACTCAGTAGTGATTTCACCGTTTTCATTTCTTATTGCATGAATTGGAGCTTTTTCTTCCCTTTTCTAAATAAGGTTGGTTAGGGGCTTATCAATTTTATTTATTCTTTCAAAGAACCAACTCTTTGATT